CACACCTTGTTTGCCACTTAAGATGACCCTGGATGACTACAGCAAACAGACTCTTAGAGTATTGTCCCTAATTCGCCCATGCCCTACAGACCCAGGCTTAATATGGCTTAACACACATAGTTAATTGGATAGACACAGAGAACACAGCCAGAATGCTGATTGCTTAACTGAAACATAATTAAGATTGTCTACACAGTAAGTCTCTTACTTAAACGTCATTAATGTTTTCTAAGGAATGCTGGCCTTTACAGACTTAGCCGCACTGAGTTTGCAGCTACCATGAACTATGATGGCCAGGAGCAGGGTGCATGTACAGTTCACTCAAACAAAGCCCAGCCTGATAATTTTCCTGTTGGCTATGTTGTTACCTTTAAAATAATGGGATGGTGATCCTTGACTCAGTTCTTTATCAGGCCAGATAGAATGGCCAGGAGTAATTCTCATCAACCTGGTCCACCAGCACACAATGGATTGTAAACACAACCCAAAATACTGGACCCAGTCACCAACTCCATCATGCTGCTTTGACACAGCCCATGTCGTTTGGCATTAACAACCCGTATTAACATTTTTGCAACAAACTTAAGGCTCTGTTCTCAGCCACTATCAACTGCTTCAGGAAAGTTCTTGAGGGCACTACATAAGTAGTTACAAAGGTTGAAACATTACGGAACCCAATGGTAAGACTTCTTCAAGAATGTGATACTTTTTCAAATTCCACTTTAAGCTTAATTATTTCAAGAGAAAGAAAAAGAGAGAGAAAGAGAGAGAAACACGTCCTCTAACATTAAAGAGCATTAGATTCTAATGCAGAACTATTGGCACCAAACCAGTATGCTATTGGTTGAAAGAACAGTTACTAATTGTGTAAAAGATTGCCTAAAACGCATATATCCAGCTCTAACACAGAAATAGAAAAGTTTAGAATTTCAAAATATATACTGTATTCAAGTCTGAAAGCATTTAACCCAAGATCTGCCAAAGAGACCAAGCAACACTTATCTACAACAAAAATATACATGCAAGAAGACCCCCCCAGCCCCAACTGTTTCCCTTAAATATTGACAAAGGCAAAGTGGAGAGTTTGTAAGATTCTATAAAACAAGGTACCGAGAATAAAATAAAATACTGAACAAGAAAATTCCATTTGTATTCTCAAATACTGTGAATCTTTGTGACGGTATCCAGACTGATAGGTACAATGAGGCTGTCACTCTGAACACGAAATGAATATAGGAATTCAGATGAGAATAAACTCTGGGTCTCCTATGGGCAATCAGGAAGACTGGGGGAGAGCTGCTGTTTGTTCTCTTTGAAAAAAAAGCTTTCACTGAAACAAGGTTGTAAAATTGCATGAACATGAATCAGATGCTTTCGTTTTTAAAAACTGGAAGAACTTGTGTGTGTATGCATTTATACTAAAAAATCAATTATGAAAAATGAAATTCTATTTTTTACTTTGCAAAAGGATATGTTTTAAAAATGTGAATGTTGAAGAATGTGATGGCACTGTTATGAGATCAGTTATGTTGTTTCTTTTTTTTTTCTTTTCCATTCTAGATCTTCTATGGATAAAACACGGCTTCACATTAGGAAGACAAGTGTCTTAGATCAATCAGCACAGGATGAGCGTGTATTTTAAATCTGTGACCTAGCACCACATATTGTTTTAGCGTTTATACATGGAGCGTGTGACTTTGCTAGAATCTATAGAAAGGTATACTTCCCTTGCTGGGGAGGACAGACTGGCTCATCTTGGGGTGGATACTACAGTAGTTTCTTAGTGGTCAACCTGTGTCTGTGAAACTCCTTTGAACCAGGCTTTTTATGTTCAGCCAAGAATGGTCTCCAGCTTTAATAGAGCATCCTTCAAAGGCAACTGTGGGCCTCACTCTTCTCTTATGGGCAACTACTAATTGGCCAAGGTAGAGAAGGCCTGCCTGGTAGAGAAGGCCATGACTCTTCCTGAGGCAGAGAACTGAGGAAGCTGAGGGTTGGAGACCAAAATGGACCTCAAGTAGTAATGATTGCAGACCTTTTAAAAGGTCCTTTTCTCAAAGGCTTTAAGATGTGGAGGTTGGGTAACCATATGTCTTCCTCTCCCATTTTCCTACATAAGAATCTCTTTGACTAAGCATTTCTGAAGGATGATAGAGAGTATAGATACAGAGCTTATGGGACTTCAGAAGGCCATCTCATCTAACCATTTCTTTTTACATATGAGGAAACTGAGGCCCAGGGAGCTTCAGAGCTGGCAGGATTTAAACCCAGGCACTCTTGTCATCATACCACAGAACACTCAGTCATTTCGTGTCAAAAGGAAAAACATGGATCCCCATTCCAAAATTCTCCAATGAGGAGCTTCCGGGAGGCTGGCCATCACTCCTGACTGGCAGATCTCCCCATGTGCCCTCCTATATCCAGAGGCATGGGTCCTGTTGGATAATATCATAGGCCCTTTGGAGGGCAATAGGACAGGGAAGCATGGAGTGGGTACATACGCTAACCTGTAAGGCAGGACATCTCTGCAAGCAGACTTTCAAGTTAGGCCTTAAGAAAACTGTTGTTAAACCAGCCTCGAAATGCCCAAAGTTCTCAATCTCAGTTAGTTTCACCAGTGGTCCTATAGGTTGTGTCTATATGACACCAAACATAGATTTAAAAAGTAAAAAAAAATAAAGTTCAGTTTGTCAGTTGGTAGTATCTGGTACCCAATGGGTTTGCCCAACTCTCATCAAATTAACTGTGTTGATAATGTTCTTTTTTTCCTGAAATTATTGTATGTAGATTACAGTCACAGACAGCATCTATTTTTGAAGTTGGTTTATCAATGTGCCTCTTCTTTAACACCCAAAGAATGAATGAAGTCATTCTCACCCTAGACAAACGCAAGACATTACAGATGTCGTTTAACTATCAGGAATTTATGACCCCAAAGGCCACCAAGAAACTGATGATTTTTCAGTACAGACCCCAGATATTTCATCCGCTAGTATCAGTTTTGAAATACTTGCTTCCACTTGATAAAAGGAACTCAAGCCCTCCCCCCACCCTGATTTTGCAGATAGTAGATCTTCCACATGAGAACCCAACAAATGCTCTGGGTGTTCAACAAAGAGTAGGTCCTCATGCTATCTGCCCCACAATAAGAAGATACTTTGGCCAAGACTGATAAAATTCTTACGTTGGTCCTTTCAAAAGAAGCACCTTTTGCAAAGTGGGACTTTGCAAAACAAGGATTCAGTGGGTGAATTCCTCCTTACGTTGTGGGGGTAGGGGGAAGGTAAAAGGTTTTTTTTTTTCCCTATATCCTTCCTTTTCTCTAGATTATGTGAACCCCACATGAATGAAGCAGAAAATACTTTAACCATGTATTTTTTTTTCCTGTTCTACCATATATCTGCTGGCTTTGTATGGCTGGTGGTGCTGCTTCTAAAGAGCCATGGCTAAAGATGACTATGTGCATGAAGAGTATGGTATGGGTGTCAGGGCCTTGGGCCCAATTCACAGGAGAAGCCCAGGTCGCTGCAGTCATATGGAGGCCCCAGATGTGAGGACAAGCAATCCCCTTCACATGAGCTAAAGGAAGGAGCCCACAGATGGGTATTATGACAGGCCTTCTCTGCCTGAATCAGACTGAGCAATTTTTTCTAGAAAGTCACACCATGGAAAAGGGATACAGCAACAATTGCAGTGATGGCTCTCTTTGCAAACAGCCCCCCTTGGTTGGTATTTTACTCCTGAGGTCCATGAAAAACTGGGTTAGTAGAGGAAGGAAGGGAGGATTATGAGTGTCTGAGAAGATTCAAGATGGAGAGCAAGACAAGTAGAGAAGGGGGAGGAGCATCCTCGTTCACTTTTTCGGGGTGAGTGTCTGCCCCTTGATAGATTTAATTTCTTTCACATTTTTTGTGCTAATTTCTACATGTACTTTTCATGTTGGTGTACTCTTCTCCTTGATTTTTCCCCTTCCAAATGAGAAAAAAGTCTCTCTTCTAATGGCTAATTCTAGGTTTTTTTAATGGACAATCCAAAGGCAGTACCAAGGCTTTCTTAAAACTGAAACATATTTAATAGTAGGATGATAAGTATTTACTGCTCTCTCCTTTGGCTCCAGGACTCCAGGAAAAAGGTGCGAGAGGGCCAACTTACATTTATTAATGCTACCTACGGGGACCCTTCTGCCAATAGTCCATCAAAGCCAAGACCCCCACTATGGTTCTCAAAGGCCCAATGGACAAGTTGTTAGCCCCAACATGACGTAGCAGTTTCAGCGACTGGTGTCAGGAAGACTTGGGATTGAATCCTGCCTCAGACACTTATTAATTATCAGGGCAAGTCATTTAGCCTCTTTGGGCCTCGGTTTATTTATCTGTAAAATGAGAGAGTTCTATTCAATAACCACAAAGGTCCTTTCCAGCTCAACATCTATGATCCTTCACTTTTGCAAGACAGTCACAAGACATATGGAACAAACACTGTCATTTGTCCCAAGCTAATGTGTTCCAGGCTGGAGAAGAGATATTTCACAAAATGATGCTGCCTCCACCTTTTCCTCACACCAGGTTACTGTGAATTGAGAATGCTTAAACATGGTATTGGCTAGAAAGGACAATTCTCCCCAAAAAGACAGTCAGTGAAGAGAAACATTTTTCTGCTATTATTCTTTGTGATGCAAGCACGTTACGGCTTTAAGCAGCTTCCCACTGAGGAGAGGTTCCGAAGTATTCGCTATCTGGAAAAGTCCTATGTTGCTTTTCGGTTGGAATTTTCTCTTATTGTGGCTCATTAATAAGATGCGCTGACTAGCACATGCCTTGAATTTGGTCCAGGGCAGTATGAAAATAATATCTCTGTGAATAATAGACAGCTGAATATAAACACAAATAAATAAGTTAAATAAGTTTAATTAAAGGAAAAAACATTTTTCCTGGTAGCTTTTGCCAAAAAAAAAAACCAAAACCAAACAAACTAATTTTACATATAATACACATAAATTATTAGAATTGCCACTTACAGAGTTGAAAAATATATATTTAACAAAATGTTTCTAAATTTACAATATCTGGGTTTGTAAATTACTTTTGTTAAGATTTTTAGACTAAGCCCTAGATGTCACACAGATCTTTGTGGCAACAGGAAGGAAACTGAGGCAGGGTCTATGTGATTGATTGGGCTGGTCTTGCCTGAGGATGACAGACTCCAATCAATCATGCAGTCCTTTGACTGGCATTCGAGCGTCATAACAGCTGGTCAAAAGTTGATAACCTCCAAAGAGTGGTACCCTATTGGCACAGCCCGAGTCAAAAGGACAGAGAAAACTGGAAAGGGTATTGCCTTACTGGATCATGGTGATGTAATACAGAACCAGAGGAAGCTGCACGTCTAGCACACAGACAAGCCTCTACCCAGAAGAGACAGCCCTTAGGGAAACCCCTGACCAAGGTAGGCAAACCGAGAATGCTGAGTCCCACATCTGTGACACAAAAGCAAACCAACGTAGAAACAACCCAGTAACATCCCAGAATGACTCACGAGGAAAACTGACACAACCCTAGGGATGGAGAGACATTCACAAGCTCCTTTCCAGAACTCCAATTCCATTGGGCTCCAATGTTTCGAACACAGGGAAGAGCTGAAGTCAGGATCACTCTGGGCACACACAGAGTGGGGGTGCAAAAATCACAGCAGAGCCTTTCAGACTTCATAAATTTTTTCTTGCAGGTAGCTGAATAATGAATCCAAGCCTTTGGAAGAACTCCATAGCTGCCTTAGCATCTGACATTCTTTCTCATTCACATCCTCGAGGACCGATTTCAGGAAGCTCCGGACGAGGCATTTAGATTCTTCTAACACCTGGAGAGGAAAACATCGAGTTAAACTGGCTAGCCAATACCCAGCTGCTATCAGCCAGGGAAATGTTCTCTGGCCATCCAGTGGGATACAGCTGATGATGGTAGGCAAAAAGGTCTTCCCTCAACTATCCCCTGCACATCCTTTCTTAGCCTGTGCTCGAGACGGGTTCCTTGTAATGTCCTTTCAAAGCTCTTTTCAACAGATAAAAAAGCACGATCGTAGAACCAAAGACTCAAACTGTCAGGGCCAAAAGGGACATTTTGTGTGTGTGTGTGTGTAGTGTGTGTGTGTGTGTGTGTGTGTGTGTGTGTGTGTGTATGTGTGTGTATGTGATGGGATCCTTTGGTAATCCTGTGGACCCTTTTTCAGAGTAATGTTTTAGGTTCATAAAATAAAATATACAGAATTACAAAAAAAACCCCTCAATTATGTTGAAATAGCTATATACACATACATATATATATATCCCAATGTTTCAATATTTCAATTTTTAATATATCAATTACTATATTAATTATAATACTACATTGTATATAATTATTAATTATAATTATACATTTATATATTCAAAATATATTTTTAAAAGTTCTCAGATCCCATGTTTAGAATCTCTGATCTAGACTAACCTTTTCATTTTACAGAAGAGGAAATTGAGTCCCAGAGAAGTTAGGGGATCTATAGTTAATAGCAGAGCTGTGACTCAAACTCAGGTCTTCCGATTCCAAATGAGTATTTTTTAATAAATCTCCTGTTTGAGTAAAGTTCAGATAGGCCTGCAACCTCATTCCTTTATTTTGGACCGAGTATGAATTCCAGGAAAGAGAAAGAATGTTGCTCCCCTGGGCCACTGCAGACTTAGATTATTCGGCAATTTAACAAACTTTGTGCCAGCCCTCTGGTGCCAAGCATGGGGCCTCGCATGGAGTCAACATTTAACGAATGTTTCCCCAGTTGTCGTGGCACTGGAGGCTTTTGTGGAAGAATGGTTCTCTTCCCCTGCGAAGCTCTTCTTATATCCATCCATTGCTTTTTGATGGCTTTTTTCATTGCCTGTTAATGTGTGTGACATGCTATCTTGAAGCTACCAGATTCCTTCTCTCTGACCTCACACTGCAGAGGTCTGCCCACTTAACTCTGAGATGGTTGCCTTCCCCTCAGCTGCACTTTCCCAATCCCTCCCTTCTTCTGACTGCTGGTCTCATAATATCCACAGGATTTAGAGCTACAAGAGACTTTAGAGTTCATCTAGCTCAGGATTTCTTAACCTCAAGCCTGTGGCCCTAAAAACAAATTGATAACTGTATTTCGGTATACTGGTTTTCTTCATAATTCTTTGTATTTAATTTCATGTCTTAAAAAATGGGATTCTGAGAAGGGATCTATATAGCCTTTCCCAGTCTGATGGCCCAAGGGGTCTCAGACACATGAAAAAGTGAAGTCCAACCCTTCATTTTAAGAGTGAAAGGAATGATGGATTTGAAGTTAAAACCTGGTTTTAAATCTGCCCTCTGACCTTGACCTTGGATGGGTAAATCATTTCAAGCTCTATAAGCCTCGGGCAGGGCTGATTTTTCTTTTTCTCTTTATATCTCAGCACTTAGCAGAGTTCCTGGGACATAGTATGTGCTGAATAAATGCTTAAGGATTGATTGTTAAATGGAAATAATACCTATTATGGGAATCAGATGAAATGATATATGTGTGTAAGCCCTGCAGCACTATATAAATATCAACTACGATTATTATATTGCAATTCATGGCACAGTGGAAAGAGTACTAGGCCTAGAGATGTTCCTTCTTTCCTTCCTTTCTTCCTTCATCTCTCCCTTCCTCCCTTCTTCTTCTCTCCCAGTCTTCCTTCCTTCCTCTCCTCCTCTTTCCCTTTTTCCTTCCCTCTCTCTTTCTCTCCCTCCCTTCCTTCCCATTGATATTCAGTGAAGTAACTTGCCTGACTAGTAAGTAGGAGAGCTAGGATTTGAACACCAATGTTCTTTCTATTGCCCCAGATGCTTCTCCCTTAAGTGTAAATACCTCTTGCCTCAGTGATCCCACCAGAGTAGAGTAGGAGTTGGGCAGGTAAGTCTGGTTCAAGCTGAACACGTTATGACCAGGATGTATGCCAATAAGAAGATGTATCTATAGAGCCCTGGGCTTGAATCCTACCTCAAACACTTCCTAGCTGTTCTGGGCAAGTCACTTAAGCTCTCTGGGCCTCAGTTTCTTCATTTGCAAAATGAGAGAGTGGGATTTAATAATCCAACAATCCAGGCAATTCTTGCAGGGCTCACTATCTGAGCAGTTACAAGGGGTTTTAACTTAATGCTTAGCAAGAGATGCCCAGAATGGCCCTACCAGTTCCAGAGGAATGAAGCACTTGGTACTCAAGAACCAAATTACTCCTCCCTAGGAAAATGACTGGGGCAACTAGGCATAGCAGTGGATAGAGTACTGGGCTTGGAATCAGGAATATTCATCTTTGTGAGCTCAAATCTGGCTTCAGACACTTACTAGCTGTGTGGCCCTGGTCAAGTCACTTAACCCTGTCTGCCTCAGTTTCCTCATCTATAAAAAGAGCTGGAGAAGAAAATGGCAAACTATTCCAATACCTTTGGCAAGAAAACCCCAAATGGGGTCATGAAGAGTCAGACATAACTGAAACGACTGAACAAGAACAAAAAGGAAAGAGACCAGCAGACTTATCTTTAAATTTCATTTCTTAGACTATTATGTATCTCAGTGGCTACATGACTGACTTTCTCTTTCTTACTACTTACACAGGATATTACTCACTGGGCTCTGAATGACTTCTAAGAGATACAATCTACACTTAATTATAAGCTGGTACTTGGACTGAATCTCTGCTTCAAGACTTAGGAGTCAAAGGGGGATGTTAGACAGTGCCAAGAACCCATACAACAGGATGATGTTGATATAAGTAAATGCTCTCAGAGGGAAGGGCTTCCCACTCCTGCTTAGCTCCCTCCTAAGTTCTGCCATTAGGGCTTTTACAGACGTGGTCATTAGTACATTCAACTTCTTTTAGTGTGATCCCTAGCTGCAATAACAAAAACAGAGGGCTCAGGAAAAGGAGACCTGTTGGCCCCACTGTCCTTTGCTACAGACAGGCCATAACTAGAAAACTGTATTCAGTTGTGGGGTCCTATTTTTAGAAATATATTGACTAATTGGAGAGTATTCAAACAAGGCTAAACAATATGGGGAAAGGATTGGAGACTGGGACATGAGAGGGTTCATCAAAGGAACTGAAGATATTAACTCAGAGAAGAAAAGACTTTGGAGGTTCACGCTATTAGTCTTTCATCTGCAGATGGATTGGACTCCTTCTTCCTGGTTTCCAAGGACAAATCTAGGATTGATGGATCAAGGCTTATAGGGTCTATAGCCTTCCTCTACATCACCGAGGGCGCAGACTTGGCCTTGCTAACACTTAGAACAGTTCTGAGGTAGAATGGATTGCCTTGGCAGGGTAATGAATAAACTCATCATTAGATGTCTTCAACCAGAGGTTGAACGACCACCTGCTGGAGAGACTATATTAAGTTTGCATAATTTGAGCAAGCAAGGGTTGGTTTTTGAGTATGGGCTGGACTAGGTGACCCCCCTGCCAATCAGTTAGAGCTCAGTTGAATGGAATCAATTGAGTTCTTTCCATTTCCAAGGATATGACAAATTTAAAGAGAAAATATGAGTTTCTGAAAACAAAACACTGGACTTGTAGTCAGAAGACCCAGGGTCTAGTCTTGATTTTGCCTATAATGTAGCTCTATGACTCTGGCCATGGCATTTCACAGGGCCTTAGTTCCCCTCTCTGTAAAGTGAGAGTGTTGGATTAAAAGGTCTTTAAGACCTATTACATTTCTAGAATTCTGTTTTCTACCACCCTCTTCCAGATGTGGCATTCTGGGATCTAGATGTTGTAGGGATCCTTTGAGTTCTGACATCTTATGAATTATTCTAAGGTTCTTCCCAGCTCTGCCATTCCATATTCAATGTTCTAAGATTCTTCCCAGCTCTGATTATTTTCTAGGACATTTTTCTATGTTCTAAGATCCTTTCCAGCTTGGGTATTCTATATTCTATGCCCTTATGGCCCTTTTAGCACTGAAATTCTATGATAATATTCCAAGAGCCATGCCAACTCTAACATTCTATTATTTATATTCTGTTACTCTCACCGCTACTATGTTCTAAAGGCCCTTCTACCTCTAGGGTCCTAAGAACAGTAGATGTAACTTTCCATCCATTGTCCTTAAGTTATTTTGATGTCCTTTGCTCTTTATTCCTTTCAAAATTGTACACATATTTTGAAACAAAGCTTTGAAAACCTACTTGTCTAGAAAGCCTGATTTTGTTCTGATCTTCGGGACAGACTATTCAATCCATCACAAGGGGATGGAGAGACAGGAGGAAGTACTCCTTTCAAAAAGGGGACTGGGAGGCCTCCCAATGTACCAAGGGCAGCTAGGCAGAACTTCTCAGGATCCTGAGGATTTCTCCTGCAGAAGGAGGGGCCAGTACTTACTATGGCACTGCAGGCGGCCATCTCTTTGACACGCAACATGACTTCTTGGCTGAAAGTGGTTGGCCAGAAGACTTGGGACACGAGCCCTCGGCTGCAAGCTTCCTGAGCTGTGAGTTTCCTTCCACAGAACAACATCTCATTGGCCTGCAGAGGGCAAAGACAAGGACATCCTGAGCTGGAAAGGACCTCAGAAGGTATGGAGCCTTATCCATCCCTAATCATGCAGGATCCCCTCTGCAAGACTCCCAACAAGTGATCACAACACACACACACACACACACACACACACACACACACACACACACACA